CGGGCAACGGGGCAGATAGCCGCCCACATTGAGTTTGGTTCTGCCAGAGGTTTCTTCCAGTTAAAAAGTCCCCAGTTGCTGCTTGTCCCAATATAGTCTGAAATAACTGTTTGCTGTTGCAGCCCTCTTACATGGCAAATATAAGGAGTATCTTATATTGTGTTGTTCTAACAAAGTATCACAAGCAGGCGGTCACAGAGTTACAGGATTAAATACATTTGTGAATGATCGACTGAGTCGATGTCAGGTAGAGAAAAATGTGTTTCACATTGTTTTGTGAATTTAACTCAGGCCTTGCACTAAGTGATGGCCCACAGGTCAGTTAAACATTGTATCTGACACAACTGAAAGAACCTTTCACATGCCCGACAACCTGCCTGTCTGTTTCTCTGTCTGTATGTCTGTCTTTTTTTTCTCTCTCTGTCTGTCTTTCTGACTGTCTCTCTGTCTGTCTCTCAGTCTGTCTCTCAGTCTGTATGTCTCTTTTCTCTCTCTCTCTGACTGTCTCTGTCTCTCTGTCTGTCTCTCAGTCTGTCTCTCAGTCTGTATGTCTCTTTTCTCTCTCTCTCTGACTGTCTCTCTGTCTGTCTGTCTGTCTGTCTCTCTGTCTGTATGTCTCTTTTCTCTCTCTCTCTGTCTGTCTGTCTGTCTGTCTCTCTGTCTGTATGTCTCTTTTCTCTCTCTCTCTGTCTGTCTTTCTGACTGCCTCTCTCTCTGTCTGTCTGTCTGTCTGTGTGTGATAACGTCAACGCTTCACCTGCCCTCCACTGACCACCTCACGCCATCATTAACTTGTCCTCCACAACTTGTCCCACACCTCCGCCGGTGTGTACTCAGTGTTCCAGCGGCTCCTGTGAGGGAGCTCGGTCTCAGTGCTCAGGCTCCCGCTAACACCCTCCAGGAGCCTGCGCTGCTCGTCGTGAGCAGGTGAGACGTCGCTGACGCTCGTGGCGCTCATGTCCCTCACTACATTTACAGTAGTAGTGCAGTGCGGACGGGCCGGACTCACCTTCACAGCGAACAGCAGCCTGCTGAGAGACGGAGAGAGGCTGTGCGCCGCCATGTTGCCCCGACTGTGACGGTCAAACACCACGACGTCATGACGTCAGAGCTTTACAGAGACCAGAGTGGTGGAGAGACGGAGGCGTACCCCCCCTCCCGTTTTTTCACCTCAACTTTATTGACAAACTTCGTCCATCGTTCCTCAGAGTATTCCAATAACTCCATAAAGTTCACTCTTTCAAGAAGCAAGGTTACGTTCTGTTGGAAGAATGGTTGGAATCTCTTTTGTGATAATAAGGGTTAGGTTAGGTATCCTTCCAGATATGTTTTATGTGTCTTTGTCTGTGCTTCAAAATCGTGTGCATCTTTTGTGTCTATGGTTCCTGCCAGTTTCCCATCTGTTTGTTTGTCTGCCCCACCCTGATCAGTTTCACCGAGCGGTTCCCATCACCCCGCTCTGTATATGTAGTCTGTGTGCCGCCCCCACCCCTTCTGCTGTCCCTGATGCTGACAAGTACAACAAGGTGCAGTGCACGACAAGTACCCTACAAGGTGTGCTCAAAACGTTGAGCTATGGGTTGTGAGTGCTCAAGCAGATTATATAGAACGGGTAATTGTTAATTGTGATGTCCAGTCGGTCCATAGTGCACATATCAAGAGTTTGTCCTGTGCAAGATTTGACAGAGGCCCAGGATGTTTTGGATCTTCGTCTTCCTTGAGTCTCTTTCACCTCTCCTGTCTGTCTCTCTCTTGTGTGCATGCTCCTCATTGCCTCTCTCTCCCTCTATATGTTTCTTTCTCCAATGTGTGAATTCTGTGCTGGACTTTTGCCTCGGTGCATTGTCCTTTTTCAGGTCTCCTGGGGCTGGGAGGTTGTGTTGCTCAGATCTGTTTAGTGGTATTATGGTGGTACTTTACTTGATGTTCTCAAAGATCATGTTCTTCATATATGTTTACAATCAATCAATAATGCTGTCACCCTGCTAGTCATTACTGTGTTGCTGAGCCTGTAAATACACCTGCTCTCTTTTTTTCCACTTTTTTGTGTCTTGATGTATGCAACATTGTTCAACAACTAATTCAAGGTTCGATGGACAGAGGGTACTGTATGGTGTACCGATTGCAAAGACCACTGAGACAAATTTGTGATACTGGACTATACAAATAAAAATAATAATGGGTCCTTGTAGCCTTTTATTGTTGTGGTTTGGATTATGAAGTTTGAGTTTTGTGTTTTTTGTTTCTTCTCCTTCCCCTCCCATCCCTTTCTATTTCCTTCCCTTGCAGTATGTGTGGCAGGAGGCATGGCTGGTCTACTGTGTCTGCAGAGAGGCACACCTGCATGCTCTCACTCCACCTAATCTACTGCTCCATAAAACCCTGGTCTCTTCACCAATCCACCAGATTATTTCTGCTGCAGACATACAACCAGTGGCTCCAGTGTTCAAGTTTTGCTTAAGCACATATCTAAAAATGATTTAAGGTATTGCTTCCATTGTAAAACAAATGAAGAGCAGTATAGTTCAAGCTCTATCAGGTGTTAGAACAAATCTGCAGAGCCACCAACTTCACATCCACAAAGTGTATTCTGGCCACCAGACAGCATTTAAGTGTAGTGTAGAATAGAAGGGAATTTGCTTTGTTAACAAAGACCATCATGCCTATGGTAAAAAAGTAGGTTTATTTGTCTTTGTATTCCAGCATTGCTAATTTTAGATGACGATGAGACCTGTTGCATTCAATCAATTATATTTCATAATTGTGCAGTAGCAAGACACCAGATGGAAACTGTCAGTGGCAGAGTGATCAGAGAGAACTAGAGAATAGTCAGGAGACCAGGGATTGGGTAAAAAATAAATTACCTTTGCTCAAAGTAAAAAAATTCATACACTGAGAGTCAGTCAAGAAATGGTCAACAAAGACAGGCAAGAAGCAGTAAAAAACAAAACAAAAACAAGGTAAACAAGCCATGGTCAAAGACAAAGAGGTTAAACTAGGAGAAGATGGTGAGAATGCATGCACATGCATGCACAAGCGTCAGAAAACAATGAGGAGAGCAGACTAAATAAAGGGGTTCTGTAAATGGGCAGGAAATAATCAGGTAACAGGCATGTTGTCAAGTGAACCAGGAACTGCAATGACAGGTGTTAGTGAGAGAAAATAAAAGATTAAACGATATATAACAGAAACTTAAACTTTAGCTTGAAGCATAAAAAACAAGTGGTGTGTTTAATTGCTCACCATTCCTGTTTCACAATGTCTGAAACTTGTTTCAGTTTTAGATCAGCACTGCTAAACATGCCATGCTTGCAGAGTGCTCACATTTCAAGAATTATCAGTTATGTTTTGATTCTCATATAATTCTGAAACACTAGCTCCTTAATGACCCATTAAATATGGCTACTGATAGATGGAGCCAAATCTAGGCCAGTGTTCAGCCTTGTTAGAAGGATATTGTAACAACTGAAACTGTAATTCAGTGCTGTCATAATCTGTTTGGCTGATGAAGCAGATCCTGCAGACAAAACCAGCTGGGACAACAGTGTTTGAAGAGCATGAAGAAACTGGGACGCTGTGTGACAGCAGCAGAAGGCAGAGGGTTTAGGTTCTTGCAGCACACATGGTTGAGACACAAGGGCACAATTATGATACCAGGATTAGGTGGTTACTAGTTATTTAACAATATTTATAAAAATGTCCTTTTTTAATATTTTACATACTGTATGGTTACTAAAATTAAGGTAGGTAAAAGTTTTGATAGGAACCAGTAGTAATTACTAGTGGATTGGTGAAAAAGCGGGAATGACAGTAATGGACTAAACTCTGTGTTAGAAGACTCACATTTATGATGTAAAGGATGATAAATGTTTAATGGTCTTTATTTATATATAAATCTTTTCTAGTCTTGATGACCACTCAAAGCTCTTTACAGTACAGTTTGCCATTCACACACACATTTATACATTGCATCTATTAGCAGCACTTTTTAGTTCTATGGAGGGCAATTAGGGGGTGCAGCATCTTGCCCAAGGACACTTCAGGATGCAGATGGGGTAGACTGGGGATCGAACTACCGATATTCTGGTTGGACCACTCTACCCCTCAGCCACAGCTGCCCAAGGTTATAAGGTTTGTTTCAGCTTGGTACGTGTTATTTCTCTGATCCATCTATAAAAGATTAATGAAAGGATGTGCCATGCATTTTTTTGCCTGAAGTTGAATGTAATATGCATTTAGAGCAAAATAAATATTTTGTACCTTTCATTGGTGTGGCCTGGTTTGACTTAGACACCTATAAACATGAAATAAATGTAAAAAAGTATTTGAGGAATTAAACTTACTCCAAAGATACAAATGATTAAAAATAACTGCAGTGCATTGTAATAATATATGCATCCATATACCTTCTTCCTATATAATGGATTGGGAAAGATGGTGAAAGTGATTGTTACGAGAAGGTTGGGGGCCCTATAGTAAGCACCTGGAGTTAGGGTGAGTTTGAGTCAGCTGGTGCTGTAGTTCTTCATTCAAGAAACTAAAAAGTAGGCCTGTCCTTAGTTTAATACATTTTTAGACTAAACTAAACATGAAAATGATCATTTCCAGTTATTGTGGTACAATTCATGTTGCTCGCTTTTTCCAGCTCACAGAAAGTTGAAAAATAATAATAATGATCATAATAAACAGAAAAACATGGGGTATGGATTAGTGAACTGTTCAGTGAACAATGAATAGACTACTTGAAATATGCGTTTCGAAGTGGCTGCTTTCTCTGATTATGACTAGACCTACATCTTTTTTGAATAGCCACAAAAAGGAAAGGCCAAAAGCCTTTACTTGAAATATTGCTGCTTTGTTATTTCTAAACAAAGAAACTAGACCAAACAATTGATGCTGTGGATGTTGCCTGCTACATACTAGAGTGTACTTCACAAATGACTTAGTTATTAAGGTTTAAATGATTTATTTAACAAATTACATTTTCTTGTGCATGAGAAAATTCATGAAAAATTCATCACATATTTTTTTTGTATTGCTCTTTGAAGACTGCACATGACTCATGCAGTAAACCAGTGGATGTGCATGAAAAATGCAATTTTACTCACTGATAAATGACCTTGAGACTTGCCAGCATCTCCAACCAGTAGCTTAGCCTCAAAAATAGAAAAAAGAAAAAGAAAAATGTACTTCTTACCTGGTTCAGTTTGTTTACAGCTCTGACTTTTAATCTTAAATAGAATGGCTGGTTCCTTCACATTAAAGTCTGACACCAAAATTCATGACACTCGTAAAAGTCTGGTTTAGGTGCAGATACACTGTCTGACCTGTATCCACTGCCTTTTCTAGTTAATATGATGGACACAAGATATCACAGGTCAGCAGGTTTGGGGTACAATTGTGTCACAGGGGTCAGTCCTGCAGATTAAGGATTGGTCCTTGGTGAAAAAGAGTATCAGTCTATTCTAATTTTAAAAGCACCTTGGTGTAAAGCAGTACGAGCTGGTAGTGCATATCCACTTCATGTCTGATATTAATTAATCACAAATCTAAACATGGATTAATTTAGGTGGCTTGAATTACGTGGAGACCCTGACTATACTGAGCAGTTCAGTTAGTGGAACAGTAGTACAACTTAAGCAATATTATCCCATGGGCCACGTCCCAGCTCTGTCTGGAACTTCTCTTGTTCTAGATCGCCGTAGATGTGCCTGAAAGCTAGAGATTTGTTTCAGATGATCTTGAGTCATATTTGAGAAAAATCTTCTGAGCTTACACTCATTATTAAAGTCTTGTTCTCTAAAGCATGAGCCTTGTTGTTGTTGTAAAGACAGACAAAGTCCTCATCTGTTTTCAGAAAACTGTTTAAAGAATCAAATTGCTATACTGTACAGCAAAAAAAATGTCTATGGAGATTCTCAGTCATCCAGGCCAGGCTTATCCAAGAAGTGTTGAGCAAAGGAAGAACACGACACTGAAAAGAGGAATCTTAGAACCTCGGGGGAATCTTCAAAAAAATAGCACCACATCCCTGTTTTTTAACACAAAGTACAACTCAAAAACCACACATCCAAAGACAAGAAACGCAATATGGTATATACAGTCCAGTGCAGCGAGGAATACACAGAACTGTATTTTGGTGAGCCTGAACAACCCTTAAATACATGCAAAGCTCAACGAAGGAGGACGCCAGCAGTTTACCCACACCCAAAGGATAAGGGACACTCATGACAACAACAACATTCATATTGTATGTAGATCCCTCAACAGCTGAGGTCTACAAAGCCACTTATTTCCCACCAACAATGCTGCTCTTTCATCCCTTCCCTGGAGATTCCCACTTCACCTCATGTGACTCCAAAAACTCCAGCTGTCGATTACACTTGGCTGTAAAGGCCTTGATAACAACCCCATAGAGGTTGAATACCTAAACTCATCACCAATCAGAACTGAGGAAGCCTCTTGGATGAGGGATGAAAAATAACAGGCACAGTTGCCCTTTATTCAACCCTTCTTGGATGGTTGATAAAATGGTTGATTTCATTGTCTCTTTTCAACAAGGGCAGGAAACTTAGTTCAGTGTAATGAATTGTTTTTCTTTTCTGATTCACTCATTTAGTTACACAGTGATTATGATTTTGTGTTGCTTTATCACGGTGTTAGCGGTGGAACATTAAGGGGTTAGGGTAGCAGGATGATATCCACTCAAGTTTAGCAGGTCATCTGCCTCTTACATTTCATAAAGACAACCAGTGGTTCAGTGAATGTTCTCTGAGCACTGGATATTGTCAGAAGGTCTTAACATGCTTGTTTTCCATACATGGCTCTTTTTTCTTATCAAATGTCATTTGGAAGGAAGCCTTTAATGAAACTTCCTGGTCCAATGCAAAATACTTTATTCAGCTGTTTGTGTTTACAAGCACAGGTCACCATCCCTCCTTTATCTATACCAGCCTATTGTGTACAGGGTCAGAGAGCTGGACCCGATCCCTCACACTGGGTGAAAGGTATGGTAAACCAGTCCAGCATGGGGCTATAAATGGTCAAACAAACATTCATGTGTAATTCATGCATGTGTTTGGAACTCCACTCAAAAAGGCCCCAGCTGGAGAAATCAACCCTTGACCCTTTAGTTGTGAAAGTGCAGCCCACTGTTCTACCTTGCCAACCATGTCAATGGATGCAAGCTGCTCAAGTTGATTTTTGATATCAGAGATTTTTGCTCTTTAGAATCAAAACTTCCAAACTTCCATGAAACAGTTTAACCCTTCCTTTCAAAACTTGTTCTGCACTTACAAATGTCCACGTACCCTCTCTGCTCTTGAGTTCCAAATTGATTAGCTGGTGATAATTTGTTTAAACCCTTCGTTAGCCAAATTTGTTTTAAAGAGAAAACAGAAATGAACTGTCAGATTTTTCCTCAGATTATCCATCCAAGAATTACTGGAGACATTTCAGATTTGCTCATTTTCAGTTTTACCTTAATACACCAGTAGTGTCCCCTTGAAATAGCATTTAATTCCTGCTTCATTGTTAAATAAATCTGCTTCATATAGATTTCCTTACATCTCTGGATCAAATCCTGCTTGAAATGACTAGTGGATGGATAATGTACATGACTCACTTATCAAGCATTTAAAGTGATCTCTTCAAATAATAAATTACAAATTTTCCCAGCTCTACCACAATCTTAGACAATACATTGCACTTTCTTGATCCATTGACATCACAGGATCCTTACATTGACTGAATATTCTGAGCTGCTACTTTTTACGGCTGCATGTTTGATCAAAGGAAAAATACTAGATGGTTTGTGCATCATTTAATACACATTTTGTTAAAGGAATATGTGTATGACATACATGGTCATTTTGGAAACCTTGGGGATCTTAACTTAATTGAAAGTGGAGTGTAAACATTAATCCATGATGAACTTTCTGAAAGGTCCATAGAGTTGAAGAGGTTAAGGAGACACTTGATCAGTACAAAGGGGATCCCACTGTCCTAAATCTCCAGCTTTACTGCTGGATGCTGTGTTAGATTAGACTGTGGTGACATAATACACTTTTGAACAAGTTACTACCAAGGGTTTATTAGTGAAGGCCTCAGATTGCTTCAAACAAAGTGTCTGGATTTCCAAACAGCATCTGAGAAACAATTTCTGACAGCACAATGAGCTGCCTCCAACAGTATTTGTAACTTTCTCACATTGTACAACATAGTTTGCTTAAAGCTTACTGAGGCCTTCACAGGCATACACTCACCAGCTCTATTACCATTTGTACAATTATATCGTGAGTTCAGATTCACAATACCCACGTTCCATCTGTGTCAATTTAGCCCTTGAAATTGCTTCATCTAGGTGGATGTCGAAGATAAATTGGTCAATGATCTATCTCTGTAGAGAGGTCATGATACACACATACCCTCTTCATATTCTTTAACAGCAAGCACAACAGTCACCAACATTCTCTGGTTCATTTGTACAAAATAATCCCCTTCGTTAGTTCAGGTTAACTAGCTAACACTGATTAGATCACTTGCAATTATTTGCCAGACGTTTAGTTTGATCATCATAGAGATGGAATTCCTCTTGTCCCTTGTGGCATCTTTTCAGCCATTCCTTTTGGTCAACAGATGGTGACGATCTCTGAGCCGAGTTCTGTATCTGAGATGGAGGAACAGCCATCTACCTGATCACACCCTTCTGCTTCTTAGAAGTGCAACTGATGCTGAACCATACAACTACTGGTTCTAGAAAATGACAGAAACTATGATTCCACAGAGCATCATCTGACCTGACCTGGGTCTGACAATGTATGAGGTCTGTTGTGAACCTCCAGTTTCACCAGTTCCTCCTTCCTACGTGACATACTCCTCATCATCACTAGGTTCTGATTTGATGTGGTCTGGGTGAAGTAGAGGAAAGTGTGGTGCTGTAGTCCTGGTACAGACATACCACTCTTTAATGTTAGACAACTGAGGTAAGGCTGGGTTGACTGAGCGCTGGCTCCTACGTGGGGTCCTTCCACTCTGCTGCTTCTGGGCCAGCTGACTTTTCAGGCCCGACAGAGACAGATCCAGAGGCATTGCCATGGGAGACGAACTTCGCAGCAGCAGCTTATGGTCCACTTCGCTAGCTGAGCTGATACCCAGTTCGTGATTAGTCAGAAGTGGAAATTCAGCATTTTTGTTGGCAAGTGATGGAGAGAGGCGGTTCATTTTAAGGTTGAGGGGCTCTAGGAGAGCCTGATGAGGTTGGTGTAGTTGATGAGCGATGGAGTCATATGGGTCCTGGGGTTCAGAGGTAGGTGACGACTTGACGTGAACCTTCATGTGTTTGCGCAAGGAACTGGGGTGGGTGTAGGACTTGGTGCAACCAAGGGCCTTGCAGTCGTAGGGCTTAGACGCTGTGTGGACCTGTGAGTGCTTCTTCCGGTCACTGCTGTTGGCGAAGCGTCGCTCGCAAAACTCACACTGGAATGGCTTCTCGCCTGCAACACAAACATGAAACTCTCCATAATCACAGTCTAGAATGAGCAACTAACTATTAGTATTGTATTAATAACAATCCCATAATTAAATATATCTGCAAAGCACTTTGGTCAAAGTTTGTTGTTTTTTTAATATATCATCAATAATTAAATTTACTTCACTTGATAGTACACTGCAAAATTCATATCTGTTCTTTTTTAATGTCACTGAGTGCAATCTGATCTACAGTGTGTGGCCGCAAGGAAGCCTCATATGGTCTGTGGTCAATAAGTTATAAAGACTTGTAATCAATAAAAAATTTCACTAAGAAGTTTTGTTAGAAAATCTTGCTTCAGGGTCAAAAAGTAGTTGTTTTTTTTTACTTAAAACACTCAGATCTTTATTCAAGACCATAATACTTTAAAGTGTGAATAACAATACCAGTTAATTACTGCATCAAACTGAAAGAAAACTTTATAACATCGGGTAAACAATATGTTGCACTTTGTATTAATGAAGAAATTATATTTCAACGCTGTACAAAGATTTGGTGATGTTAAAATATAAATACAATGTTTTACCTTGTAAGAACTGAAAAAAGGATGGTTTATTTTGTTATTTGGCTTTAATGAGTAACAGATTTGTGTATTTATATTTGTCTTTGGTTTTTTCACCTTTTAAAAGCAATTTCTATTAAATAAATTAACAGAATGTAAAAGTGTGGGCATCTTGCCCACGGAAACTTTGGCAGGCAGATAGGGAAGACTGGGATTGAACCGTCAACCTTCTAGTTAGAGGACGACAGCTTCTATAAAACAGAGGCAGGATTCATCCTTTTGGTATTTGAGGCTGTATTTCTGAATATATAAAAACTAACTCTATAAAGTATACATAAATATATAAAGAATATAAATGATACTGAAGGCCACGTGGATTTACATGACCAACAGTTTCTAATAGGTTAAACTAAAAGTGTTAAAGGTCCAGTGTGTAAGATTTAGGTGAAAGGGAACTATTGTCAGAAATGTAATGTAGAATAATCCTCATGATGTTTTCACTGGTTTGTTTCATCTAAATTGTATGTAAGTTTTCTTTACCCCAGAAAAGGCCCTTTATATTTAAATACTTTATATTTACATTGAGGGGCTCCTCTCTACGGAGGCTTCCATGTTTTTTACATTAGTCCAGACTGTACAAACTAAACACCTTTTGAGTTTTTATGACAACTGAGGGCCACAGTTTCTTTTTCATGTTTGGAAGGAGAGGGTGAGGTGAAGGGTGTTCAGCTGCTACATGCATTTTCAACACTAGATATCACAAAATTCTACACACTGTACATTTAAGTTTAGGTCTGAAATCTATGGTTTTTATATACATTTGTATATTATTTTTTTAATTGCAATGCATTTTCAAAATGATGTTCATAAATTAACTTATTTATTGATTTATCCTTCTTTCTCTATAGATAGTCATTTGTTGCAACACTGCAAAGTCTAATGGAAGTGGGTCGCTATTCACATGTAATTTCTCATTTATATGTCATGTAATATGTATGTACACAATACTGGTGTTGTACAGTGGATCAGTTGGATTAGTTCTTGGATTAGTTCTTGTGACCTACGATGTTTGTATGGTGGGGGTTGTTTTGTGTGTTGTTGTTTTCTTGTTTTAAGGCACAATAGAAATAAAACTCATTGCTTTTTAAGCTAGGTAACAACTTAGACCTTATTCTGTGAGCCCATAGACATCCAATACAACTAAAATACATATAAGTGAGCATGCGCTCTATTGGTAGTTTATTACATAAACCTAAATAAAATGAATGCAGTCAACTCCAGCATCCCTGCACCCATTCCTGCTTTCACAAATCTTCAAATAATTAATCTTGTTCACACTCCTTCACAGCGATGTTGCCTCAACTGTAGGATCATGGTCAAGGCTGAAGTCTGCAGCTCCTCTACATGTATACCAATAACCTAGAAAGTGTTTCATACTTTATCAGTGAGTCTGAATGTGATACTGAATCCAGTCATCAGCTGTAAACGCGAGGTTGTAAATGGATTTCAGTGACGTGTCCTGGTAGCTAAGATACCACATCAACTCTGAGTCTGTTCAGGGTCCTATGGTTCACATCCTCCTCACTCACTCCCGTCATTCTGACGAATAAACCATGACATGCTAATTATTAAGTCTAAAGGAACACCAGTCATAGGGGTTTTTCGCCAACCTGCAATCCCGACAGTATTACATGACTTATAAACGATGAACAAAGCATTAGAAGAATATGTATAAACCATAAATAAAGCTGCAATTTATAAAGCCTTCAGTGTCTGAATAGAAAGTAGTGCTACCGTTTTATTGAGATGGCAACTGAGTCTGTTTAAAACGGCATATTGTCTGTTTCTGGCTCATTGTGGAAAAACAACATTATTCCTGTGCACTCTATTATTATGCAGATTGGCATTCAAATGATATATATAGCCTCACGTCTGTCTCTACACAATCACTTCAGTTGTGTAAACCTAATCACTTTAATTGTGCACTCATCGTTTCCTCCCTCTCTCTGCGCTGCTTCCTGTCACCTTACATGACTCTGAGCTGCAGTGTGGAGCTGTGATTCCTCCTCAAGGAAACAAGGGCTCAGCGGAGGACGAGCGTGAATCCGAAGTGAACGGAGCCCGTGTGAACATGGAGGGGATTCCTCTCAAGACTGGATCAGTCTCGCTTCACCTCTGTGCTCTGTCACGAGCCTGCTGTCCTGTCACGGATTTACACACTGACTGACATAATGACTCCGTGTCTTTGTTTGTGTTCGTGTGCGTGCGTGCGTGCGTGTGCCCATGCAACCATGAAACCGTACCAGTGTGCGTGCGCGTGTGGATCTTGAGGTTCTCGGAGCGTGCGAACATCTTGCCGCAGTTGGGAAACGCGCATGAAAACGGCTTCTCCCCGGTGTGCACGCGGATGTGGTTGATGAGTTTGTATTTGGCTTTGAACGCCTTCCCGCCGCGCAGGCACTCGTCCCACATGCAGACGTGACTGAGGCTCTCCAGCCCCGCGGCTACATGCTCGGTGGTGACGTGGTCCACCAGCTCGTGCATGGAGCTGAAAGTTTGGTCGCAGACGGACGTCGCCGTCCGCCCGAGCCTCTGTCTCGAAGAAGTTCGGTCAATCCATTTGCACACCAGTTCGGTTTTGACGACGGGGCCTTTGGAGAAATCCACCAGGCCGTCCATCCCACCGCAAGCACCGCTGTCGGCAGGAGCGGGGATGCTAGCGGCTCTGTGCGGCGATACGATGCTCGAAGCTCCGGAGTTGTTGTTCCCCAGCGGAGAGACGAGGCCATTGTGCCTGGCCACTCCAGCCGTCCGCTTCATGCTCGGCACGGCGGACTGCCCCGCTCTTAGCGCCGACTACAATCCTCCTTTCCGCAGAAAACGAGTTAAATCCACCGGGCGAAGCGTTCCCCGCTTCCCCGCCTCCGTCCTGTGCGTTTAGGCGAAAGGTAGAGCGCATGCGGCGGTGTCTTTACCCCCCGCTGCTCGGTGTTAGATCCCGAGAGTCAGAGCCTCCATGCTTTTATTTACTGTGTGAATGGAGGTGAACAGAGTCGAAGGAATACAGCAGCCGCGGCCCAACACTGTCTGCTGACGTCCTCGTTTCCTTCCCTCCTCCTCTCCTTCCCTCAGCCCCTTCCTTAGTTTACGACCAGCAGACTGAATGGGAATTTAGATTGAGATGACCAAAACATGAAATTGAAGTGTAATATTATGGAGGAGTTTATGTGTGATAAGAATTAAATGATCTCACCCTATCATTACATATTAAATTAGAAAATTCCAAATGTATACATTAAGCAATATTTACATAGACTATTAGATAATCTATATTGTAATAATAATAATTATTTTGAAGAGATCTTTGTTTCATAACTGAGAAACTGGAACTAGTCATCATAGATAATATATATGGTCATATTAAGAATTGATCAATATAAAAACAATAACTCAGACAACTAAATAGTTGATGATTCCTTTCTTGTCAGTATATTCATCTGAAAATCTATCCAATGTTCCATCTTCCACAGTCGGCGACAAAGTTTTTGTTTGTGTAGCAGAAGCAAACGGAAAAAAACTAAACAATGGAAATAATTTCATATAAAAAAAAATTAAAACTCAATAGAATCAAAGAAAGAGGAAGAAAGGTTGTATCATAATTGTCAAACATGGACTAAATGTTCAACATTAGTTCAACAGTCATGAAATCTTAACCACTCTTAAACCAGATATATTCTTCTCACTCACCATCATGTATTTTTTATTTGTTAAATGAACTGGTATTTGTGTAGTTTATGCTTTTAGCGCTTTACAGTATAACTCACAATCACACATTCATCAAGCTATACACAGCTGCTTGTCTATCTCACATACACACACCGCCAGCACAGCTGTTGGAGTGCCCACGCGGACTGGAGGATCGAACTACCGACCTTCCGGACAATGTTTGGACACTATTCAATTCAATTCAATTTTATTTGTATGGCGCCAAATCATAATATACATTATTTCAAGGCACTTTACATAGAAGGTCAGGGCCTTAAAATCAAAATATAGAGAAACCCAACAGTTCCCACAATGAGCAGCACTTTGGTGACTGTGGGGAGGAAAAACTCCCTCATTAACAGGGAGAAACCTCTAGAACCAGGTTCAATGTGGGCGATCATCTGCCTCGACCAGTTGGGGTGAGCAATGAAAACGGGGCAAGGACAGGAGAGATGGGTGGAAAAGAGGGGAGAGAAGAGAGAGGGATAGTGGGGAGGGGGAAGTAGGAGAGAGGGGGGTCGAGAAAGACCAGGGACACTTGATCGCCATCAGGTATCAGATCTGACTAGTTAACAGTGTAAAGACTATTCATTATTATTGATAACAGGCACATTCATATCATAATTAATTACGGAGATATTGTAATTAATAATAGTAATAATGTTAAAAGTTGTTCTCCTGAGGCTCCGGGGTCAGAGATATCTGAAATGAGAGAGAAAAAGAAGAAGAGAGAGAGACTATGGGAGTACAAAGTGAAATAGTCATTGACATGTATTAAAATAAATAAATGAATGAATGTGGAGGGACAGAGAGAAGTGGAGAGGTGCTCAGTGCATGATGGGAGTTCCCCCAGCAGTCTAGACCTATATAGCAGCATAACTAAGTGATGGTTCAGGACTCACCTGATCCAGCTCTAACTATAGGCTTTATCAAAAAGGAACGTTTTAAGTTTAACTTCAAATGCAGAGATGGTGTCTGCCTCCTGAACCCAGAGTGGGAGCTGGTTCCACAGGGGAAGAACCTGGTAGCTGAATGCTTTACCTCCTGTTCTACTCTTAAAGACTCTTGGAACCACAAGACAGCCTCTGTTTTGTGAACGAAGTGTTATCAGGTCTTTGATATATGAAGGGGCTTGATTGTTAAGGGCTTTGAATGTGAGGAGCAGGATCTTGAAATCTATCCTGAATTTTACAGGGAGCCAATGTAGAGAAGCTAAGACAGGAGTAATTATGATCTCTCCTTCTACTTCCTGTCAGCACTTGTGCTCCAGCATTTTGGATCAACTGGAGACTTTTTACCGATTTCCTGGGGCATCCTGATAATAAGGAATTACAGTAATCTAGTCTAGAGGTAACAAATGCGTGGACTCGTTTTTCAGCATCCTTCTTAGACAAGATGTTTCAAATTTTGTTAATATCGCGCAGGTGGAAGAAAGCTGTGTAAAATGTCTCAACGCTAGTCTCTACTTTGAGCCTTTACTCTGCAGCTAGTTTAAATGTGTCTGCTGTTGAATGTTGATATGTGGATCTGATGTGGACTCTTCCTGTATGTTGATTGTAAAGATCTGTGAACTATGATTTGTTATACCTCTCCTATACACTACATACATCTATCAGGGCTGTTCTGAATTTATCCTGATGAAGACAATGTCCCAAAACATCTTAACTGAACAACTTAAAATTAAAAGTGCATTAGGGTCTCTGCATTATTCTGCCCCTCCCTTCGATGTCTGCGCATAAGCCAGACTCACTAGAAGAGGTGTTCTCCTTTAGGTGTGCTCATGTACTGTAAAACCTGATCCATTCACTTATTATGATCTGAGGTTCTCCAAACACAATTCATGTAATTTAACACACATAACCGTCACAGAAAACATGTTTTACACTTATTTTACATGAAAGTCCACTGTTACCGATGACAAGAAATCAGAGTCTGTTGTGTTGTCTTATTTAATGAGAGAAAACATATAGATGTACAAAATGTTAGTGTCCATTATTAGTAAGAAGTCAAATGTCAAGTGACAGACCAAGTTTGTATTTGTTAAATATATAACCAAAGCAAGAGGGAGATGTATATGTGATCAAGGAGAGTGTGAATAAAATATGGAAAAATCAGTGGAGGGAACATTCGTCTAAGTAAAGCACCATCCAACCAGAAGCAAATATCACACATGCACTTACCTCATTTAACCAAAGTGATGCTCCAAATGGATTTTATATCTTTCCAGCTGCTGCAATGAATCTGACATTGTCCTTCATCCATCCATCCATCCATCCATCCATCCCAACCATCACTGGGTGTGAGGTGGGGTACACCCAAGGCCAACACATCGAGACATCCTGACACTTATACATTCACACCTACAGAGGTCCACAATTAACTTAAGCTCCATGTGTTTGGAGTGTGGGAGGACACCAGAGCACCTGGAGAAAAATCATGCAGTCACTTAGAGAACTTGCAAACTCTACTCAGGAAGACCCTGGTCAATTGTCAGAAACCTTCTTGCTTTGAGGTGAAAGTTGTTGATAATCAATCAAATGTATTTATATAGCACGGTATCACAACAAACAGTTGTCTCAGGGTGCTGCACAAAAGTCCAAGATCTTAAGAAACACAAACTCCAACTTGTTCCACACCGAGCAAGCATGAGCAACAGCGGGGAGGAAAAACTCCCAGGTGGAAGAAACCTCCAGCAGAACTGGGCTCGGTGTGGACGGCCTCTGCCAGGACCGGTCGGGGTGAGTGGAGAAAAAAATAGGGGAACAAAAGGAAAAAAAAAAGGGGGGGGGGTCTCCATGTGGATGTTTGCATGGTCTTCCAAGGGCGTGTTGGTCCCCCCCAGGCACTCCTGCCTCCCTCCATGGTCCAACATGCACAGCAGTGAACCCATGGCTCCAGATTGTCCTCAGGTGGGAGTGCTGGTGGTTGCGTGACCCTCCATGTCAGCCCTGCGACAGACCGGCGACCTCCACCAGGTCCATCCCTCATCGGGACCCGAGCCAGGACGGGCCATGGAGAGCGGCAAAGCATGGACCAAGGAGGGGAGGAGAAGACACAAGAGACATGTAATAAGAAACAATAAAAGAAACAAGGCAGAGAGAAAAGAAGAGAGAAGGTGCTGGTTTCAGGATGCGGCCTGATTGTTGAGGGCCTTATAAGTCAGTAGGAGGATTTTGAAATCTATCCTCTGTTGAACAGGGAGCCAGTGAAGTGAAGCTAACACAGGAGTAATGTGATCCCGTGTTCTGTTTCTTGTCAGTACTCGTGCAGCAGCGTTCTGCACTAGCTGAAGGGTTCTTAAGGATCTGCTGGGACACCCTGATAATAAAGAGTTGCATTAGTCTAGCCTAGATGTAATAAAGGCATGAGTCAATTTTTCAGAATCCTGTTTTGACAGGATGTGTCTGATTCTCTTTATATCGCGCAGATGAAAGAAAGCTATTTTGTAAGTTTGACTAATTTGTTGGTTAAATGACAAATCAACAGAACTCCTAGGTTCTTCACAGTGGAGTTCGTAACCAGGCGGATGTCATGGTTCACCGACTGGTTAGACAGAGTTTTTCTGAGATCGCTAGGGCCCAGGAATATCCCATATTTACAAATCACAATTTGTCTCATAGGGGTTAACAAGGTGCTACATCTTCTCCCCTCAACCCTAAAGAACAGTGAGGAACTACCAACAAAAATCTTTTCACAGGGGAAAAACAAAAAAACATAGAAACCTCAGGTAGAGCCACATGTGAGGAGGGATCCCTCTCCCAGGACAGACAGAAATGCAATAATCATGTAGCTGAAGACATCAACAAAATAGAGGTGTATTAATGTCTAAAGTATTTGTACATACATTACTTTATCAGTAATGGTAGAATATGTGGGGAGTTTATAATGTATATCACAGCAACGTCGTTGCATAATCCATGATCAGCTGCCACCACTAATCATGATTCATTCATAAGTAGAGTTAGGGGAAAAGGGATTTGTTCTGGGGCATGGGTCAAAGGTAAGGGCTGGGAGCGAAAGGGATGGGACGTGGGTAAATGGTGGACAGGGGGAAGGAAGGAAGAGGAGGTGGCAGGGTTGGGGGGTGCTCAGTCCTCAAACAGAGCTGGTGTCCTCTGATGTGGACCCACAGCCGTACCTCCGGTCGAGCTCATCGTAAATAGCTTCACGGAGTGAGTTGTTTTTTAAGCGTTGTTCCCTGATAATTGTCAGTGTGTGCTTTATGAGGGGTTCTTCTCCTGGACTTGACAACGGGAGAGGGTCTGATCTTCAGATTTACCTCTGTTGTCTTCTGTATTTCAGGTTCTATTGTCCTCATTTAACTTTATCAGTTTGTCCTGGATCTCTTTCATCATCTCTGCACATTCTTGCGATGTCCTGTTTATCAAATAATTCAATTTTCCTCTTGGCAACATTCAGAGGTGCTACTCGGAATCTGTTTTTCCGTGCCACAATAAAATCGATCTCTTTCTGAGTGAAGGTATGACCCAGGGCTTCTTTGATGGACTGTTCCTTTTCTGTAATTTTGTCTGTAGTTGGGACTTGCATCCCAGCAGCCATCATTGCCAGTGTCCACTGCATGAACTCACTTTCTGTGAATCGCTGGTTGGATGCACACCTGAGAGACACAATCTGCTCATTGCCAGCGTGCCTGAGTTTCAACGCCAGCTTTGTCCGTGTGGATCCAAACTGGTAGGCCTGCTCCCTCTCCACCACAGACACAATTTCTGAGACACAGTGAGGTGGGTCGCTGTTGCTGTCATTAATAGCCACCCTGGTGAAGCAGCCAGTCACAATGGTGGCAAAGAAGGGGGTGTGGCACCATTGCTCCAGCCTGTTACTGGACAGGTAGATCCTGGACAGCTTTTCAGGAGAGAGAACAGTAACTTCTGGACCAGCTTTCTTCTCCATGGGCTTGTTGCCTTGCTTGATTTCCCTTTTCCATTTGGAGCCAGCAGATATATATTTGGGAAATACACTTGTTTACACCGGAACTTGTTTATTATTAGCCACTAACCCCATAAGCTAAATTGCGGTCAATATGTCTTTTTTTTAGCCTGTAAGCTTTTGATAAATACTTTATAATTCAATATTTCCACCAAGTTTACAAAATGTCTGCCCTGTTTTGAACATGTTTGCCTAAGAAACACAAGTGCAACCACAAAATCACAATTTCCAGTTAGCATCTTGTTTGATCAAATCTTATTTAAAGAAATCACATTTATATTTAATTTGTAGAAGTACAGTTTATATTAATATGGCCCACTGGATATCAGAAGTACCAATTGTGATGCATTAACTCAACAAAGTCCATTAACATGTATTTGAGCTTTAGACCAAACATAAATAAATTACAGTGGACAAGACAGTATAAGTTAAATGATCTTACCATGCTTTGTTTTCCGTCCATTGCAGAGTTTGCTCCAGAGTCTTGATAAATGCAGCTGCTCATCTCACGATGAAGGAAGCAAGTGAGGTTTGTTGCTAGACGATTATTATCCCAAAGCTTTTGTACCATATCAAAGCCCCCTTTTTTAAATGAAAACATATAAGTCATCCAATAAGACTGAGACCTCATCAAGATCAATGGATTTAAAGGATCTTCATGACCATATATGGTAAAAGCACAGGGATAATAATGGCCTGTAATAATT